GGCTTTAAGACACAGAACAGATGAAAATAAGGAAAGGGAAGCATAAATAATAAAGGGAGGGGGACAAAACATAAGAGCCTCTTAAACATGGAGAACAAACAGGGGGTTACTGGAACAGTTATGGAGGGGGTTGGGCTAAATGGGTAAGGAGCATTAAGAAATCTACTCCTCAAATCACTGTTGCACTATATGCTAACTTGGATGTAAATTAAAAAATAAATTGAAAAAATAAATCTTTATATATAGCCTAGGCGCTTTTCAAACTGCTGCTTTTATGCCGGTTCCTGAGTGGGTCTGCATGCAAGCCATTTACAATAAATATTTGTTTTATACAGCCTTTTGCGTTTCCCGGATGTGATATCCATTTTCTATGTGTTTTTCAAGGCCAGATATTTGGGGGGTTCATCTCCTCACTGCAGGTCCCAGGGATTGGGGTGCCTAATGTGGGGGCAAAAGCCCCTCATTCATCAAGGAGAAGCTCCCAACTGTGGGTCACCACTCTGGCAGTGGGTGAGACTGTCTCACATACAGCCCTTTTACTGCTTTGTTGTGAATGTGCTCTTCAGCTAGTTCTCAGGTCTTTTTCAGAGGGAACTCTTCCATATGTAGCTGTAGGTTTGGTATGTTCATGGTTGGAGTTGAGTACACCCACCATCTTGGACCACCCCTAACATTTCCAATTAGATCTGTTTTCTTAAATTTGTATAGTTCTGCAATTTATTTCCAAATTATCCCTGTTTGGAACATATAATTCCTTATTCTAATAGACTGTATTTTGAGAGCTTTCCCTACACTCTAAATAACTACACAGTTGAAGACTAAAAATAAGACAGTCTTTTGATAACTGAACATGATAAACATATAGACTCTTAATCCTCTCAAAGAACAGATCAAATAATTCAGTTCCCTGCAACAAAGCATATAATAGGTAGCCTCTACATATTATTGTCTGTAATCAATGTTAATCAGTGTGTTTGCTAGTAGGACAATATGTCATATTACTTGGTAATACCTCTGACCTAAATAAAGACTTAAGCTGATTACAGGACATACATTCATTTGCCTAATTTATTCAACAAATGTTTATTTAGTGCCTGCAGAAGGCACTAAGCTGAAAGTAAATACATAAAAGAAAAAACAAAAAGGAGCAAAAGGAAATCCACCTCCCAGGTGCTTGTGTCAACATTACCCCAACACACTGGTATTTGTGGGCCTTAAGATCTAATAACCTAGACACACTGTATCTATGAGAACAAAACATTTTCTATGGAACTGATATTTTGCAATTGATCAGAAGCTTCTAAAGGCTGATAACCATTCTTTAAATAATACCTGAAAAAAATAATAATTTCTGTGAATAAAGCCCAGTGTTATGTATTTTTTAATCCAACTTAATAATATGAGGTCAACTCGAAAGCTATGCTTGAAAAATATAATATATTTAAAAAAATTCCTGCAATACAGAACTCAGTTCCTTTAACAAATTCTCCTATCTGGGCAACACAGTTGATGATGCTTCTATAGTCAAAGAAATAGGACATTAAAGAAAACTAATGTTTTTTAGAATACCAGCACACAATTTACAGGCCAGTGTGTTAATGAGCTCCAGTCCAAGTAAATGTCAATGGGGTACTGATGATTCCCAACTATATGCTAGCTGAATCATTAAATGGATGTCATCTGTGAGTTATGAGTGATAAAAATATAAAATAAGAGATGATGATTCCAATTATCATTTGCAAAGAAGGATGATAGCTATAATTTACCTCCACTTGAATGAGAGGACATAAGCCTACGAAAAATAACAGTGAAACACCTACACAGCTGCTAACTAATGTGAGGCAATTAAAAATAGGATGGACAAACTGAAAAACTGAAATCACAACTAAAAGTCAAGTACAACCTCAAAGGAAATGGTATTGCCATGTTTATGGATAAGCATCAAACTGACTTACAAAACACAGAAACATCATTGCTACTTTAATTAGGTTTGTAAAAAGGAAGGGTGGCAAATTTCATCGAGAGATGAAGATCTTCAGTCCCAAGCAAAGCTGTATTTAGTTTGACAAGATTATTAAGCTCATCAAAGTTAGCCTTTTCAACTATACATAGCAAAAGTGCCCCTTTCAAATATGAAAAATTATCAAGGTATGTTGATTTTTTATGTTGTTATACTAGCTACAATGAGTTGATACTTGAGACATTTGTAAATCCATTTGAAATTTAGGTCCTTATAAAATACAGTTTAAAAAAAATCCTAACATGCTATCTGCTCCTCTGAAGAAAATATTCCCATTGAAGTCCTGTATTTTCAGCCTCAAACAGGAGTCTTTGATATTATTCTGCAGCCCTGATAATTCCACTCCTGGTTTCAAATCTCTCTTGTCTGGTCTATTTTGATTTATACTAATTCAACTCCAGTAAACCTCAAAACTAGTGGTATCTTAGGGGCATTTTAATTTCACGTTAACCAAGTGATAAAACCAAAATTAACATGACAAACTCCTAAAGACTTAGGCAAACTCCATAAGTCCCCTATACTTATAGCTCCGATTAATAGTCTTTGATATTTAAACATAGTGTTTGTAATCTACTGAAGTAAAGGACCCAAAGGAAAACACACCTTACTATCAATCAGCCACTTTCTCTAAGTCTTGCCTGGTTCATTGAGAAATCTCTAAGAGCAATAACCTAATACCTTAAAGCATGACATCATACCAGGTGAATCTTCAACACAGTTTCAAATAAAGCAACTGACCACTGTTAGAAAACAACTTCACTAGTCAATCACATTCAGAGAAACATTAAGACGCAACTGCAAAGTGCAATAATACGTGCAGAAAATATACACTTTTTCTCAACACGTCTGTAGTTTTCATGTGGTTGGTCTCCTCCACTTAAAAGCCAGCCTTTTCATTTGATGTGCTGAGTTAAATTGTAAAGTTCTGAATAATTTAAACCCAATTTAAAAAAAAGTTTTTTACCTGTATACTATAAAATACGGTTACACGTGTCACAATGGTCACGCTCTGGGCCCCCATGAAAAATACAGTAGACAATGACAAGGAACATTTTCTCCCAGAAAGATACTCAATTCTAATAGCTAGTTCTCTGTCTTGAACATCACCGTCAGTTTATCCTTCAGACCAACATAACCATTCTATATAAAACTGCAACCCACACCTGCATAACACAATTTTCCAACATGATAATCAAATATATTTACTGTCAATCATTCTTTTCTAGAACATAAGCTCCAGAGGGAAGGGATCTTTGTCTGTTTTGCTCACGAACATATCCAAAATAACTGGACAGGACCTGATGCAAAGCACTCAGTATTTGTTGAACGAATGAGTTAATCCACAATGAGAATTCAGTACAAAATATGCTCTGAATATAGAGTAGACAGAGCATACACATACAAATGCATAATATCAGACAGTGGTTAAATGCTACAGAGCCAAAGCGAACAGGGTAAGAGGCTGGAGAGACAGACAGTAGTAGCAATTTTAAATGAGGAAGCCACCTCTCTAAAATAAAGGCAATTGAGACTTGAACGAAGGTGGGTGCCATTCATATTTGGGCGGAGGGGTGAAGTGGGCTTTAAGGATGGCGGAATTAGCAAATGCCGAGCCCCTAGGCTGGAGACCCACGTGGTAAGCCGAGCAAGCCCAATGAGGCCTGTATGGTGGGAGTGGGGTGTGCAAGAATGTATCACTTCAATTGCCTTTACTTACTACTTAATAACCTGTATAAACTGCCTAATGCCCTGGGAAATAGAGATTACCTTTCACCTAGAGTACTCAGATTCCCTGATAGTTAAGTTCTTCTTCTGTTTACCAGCCCCCAAATGTCTGTATCAGCGCATCATATAAAATTACAAGGCACGGTAATGACTTTGTCAAAAACCGTGCAGAGTAGCCTCAGGAGTCACGAAACTGACTGAACTAAGCACCACTGCGCAGGAAGGTGTAAAGCCAAGCAGGAACTTGGTACTAGAAGTGTGCAAAGCCACGAGGCTCAGTAAACATTAAACAGTGCCGGAATGCGAGTCTTGGGGAAAGAGCACAGCACAGTCCCAAAAGCAGTTTGAGAACTCTGCCACTTTCATTCACCTCTAAGAAAAGACTAAGTCCCTAGCTCGGTACGAGGCAGCTCTGTGACATGCATTCTGGGACAATCCTGGACTCGAAATGCTCCGACATTTTACGTAACTTCCCAAAGAACAAAAACAAAAAGTTCGCTCTGAACTCGCCTTCCAACTCAGGCAGGAAGTTCCTCCTCGGCCAAGGCGGGGCGCTTGGGAAGTTTTCAGCGTCTGAAAACCTCTATTTCCGGGGCTGAGTGGAGCTATACCTTGCGGCTTAAAATACAGGTTTTCGGCGACTCTTCCCATGCCTCCACAGCTGCTTCGCCTAGCTTAGCCAAACTTTCTGCGCTGTCCCTCGACAACAGGACCAAATGTCGGAGGCACAACACTGAGTTAGCAAGCTGGTTCGGGCCCGGGAGCTAGGTGAATTGGGTTTTCGCGGGTCGAGGCGACAGAAGTAAAACGGCAGCACCCTACGCGGGGCGAAGAGCGGGGTGGGAAGGCGAAACTCTGAGGTAGGCGCCGCCGCCACAGCCCGGGGCAACGCGCTGCCTCACCGTCCTGAGGCGAGAAAGCCTCGGGGCAGGCGTCGCCGCACGCGACCCTCGCCCCGCGCACCACATCGGCCCTCGCACATGCGCGGCGCCGCCTGGGCCTGGCGGCTTGGGTGGGAGAACAATCCCAAGGTCCCGCGCCCACGCCCGCCAGCGGATGTGCGCACGCGCGGCGTCGCCTAGCTCCTAGGCCCGGGCGGGGGTGTATCCCTGGGGGCTGCTCTCCAGCTGTTGCCGGGTTCTGAAATTCGGACCGCGGGGGCGGGGAGAAGTGGACAGCAGCTGGGTGTTCTAAGGGCCTCCCGCTTCGAACCTGACGTCCCCTCTTGACTTCCTACATCTTCCGGTCCCCTTACCTCAGCGCAGGCCTGAGCCGCATCCGCTCCGCCTTCTGGGTCGCAGTTACTGCTCGGTCGGGGGCACGGAGCAGCGATGAGTTGGCGCCTCCCCCTGAAGCAGCCTGGCCTCGGCAGGTTGCGTTCGGGTGCCAGGCCGGGGAGGGGAAGGGAGGAGAGAGCACTCGAGGAGAAGGGGCCGGCGACGGCGCCTCGCCTCGCCCCTCCCCTCCTCGCCCGGCTGCCCACTACCGCCCCCACCCCTTCCTTGCTGAGTCCCCCTCCTTTCGGAGCGGCCCCCACGACTCTCCCCCGCTGAGTCCGTCTCCGCCCTGTGGGACACCCCCACTCCCACCGTCGCTAGGGTCCTGGTACCCAAAGTCTTGGGAATTTGGGGTTGCCTGACTTGGAAGGGTGAGGCTTGCAAATTGTGCTTGGGCAACCTTTTCTACAGTCCTTGTCCCCCAGCCGGTCCCACCACCAGGGAGCTCTAATCACGTGTTAACATGGTTTCTCCGTTTGTCCCTCACTGCTGTGGGGTCTAAGTCCTGTACTCCTGTAATACGAATGCTGAAATAATGACTGATTTGTCTTGAGGGGGTGGTGAACTGAGTTACCTTAGGACCAAGGTCTTCTGGAAAAACCGCACTTCCCCTTTATTAATTTAGTAATTTCTTGTATTACACTGCACCTCTGTTGGCCTTAGTAGACTTTAGTAAAATGCACCGCATGTAATATAATTATAATGTGCAATAATTTCTTTCACTTTAAGACTTATCTTGGCCTGAGTGGGTTTTGGTAAAATGCTCCACGACTAAGCTTATTAGGGGTTCCTAGGAGGTAAGCTGAATGCCTTTACACTGGCTTTTAAATGAGAACACAGGTTCAACGTTTAAATGATTTGCTAAAAAATTGCACAGCCAGATCGAGATCTCAACCCAGAGTGATCCTGTTCATCTTGTGTGATCTGGCCTTCCTCATTCATCAGCAAAACATCATTCCAGAATGTCTAGCTGTTTTTATTGCAGTTGCTGTCGTTGGCAGACACTTACGTCTATTATCAGAGCATACTACATTGAACCCCAGAAGGACACTTGCATTGATTTACTTGATTTTATAGGTTATGAGCAGGGCAGGAGTTATAGTGCATGACACTGCCTAAAATTAAGCTTTTCCCCTGAAACCATTAGTTACCTTTTGTCCTTTTGGTATAAAAGGTGACATCACCATAATTGAAAGGATCCCTTGGATTTTTTACTTGAAAAGGAGAATTAGAAGGAACTCCTTCCAGAGTATTTATCTAAGGGAGAGGATTGCCACACTAAAAAGTAGTGAGATAAGGCGGGGTTATCACTAACACACCTTCCTTTTAGTATTTGTGATGTTTATATCTCATTAGATTGTGAAACTCTTCAGAAAACAGATCATACCTTATTTCTGTACCATAAAATGTTTAATAAATGCTTGTGGAATCAAATTACATTGATTACCTGCCCTTTAGTTCCTCAAATATGTGTCCCATACTCCATTGAGAGACCTAAACATAACCATGAATCCCTGGTTTACTCTCATTTTAGATAGTGTGTGCCAATTCTCCTGGGCCTGACTGCCTGGATAAGCTGACCTCTTAAGAGTGGTTGATATCTAATCCAAAAAGGCTTTAAGTCACCTTTTCTGATACCCTCATCAGCTCTCTCATTCTCTCCTTGCGACAAAGCTGTATAACACTGAGTCTGCATAAAAAATCCACCGACTTATTTTTCTGTTCAGGAAAAGGCTTTTCCTCTGGTCACCACCAAAGATAAATTCATCATTAAACAAGTTTAGAGTTGTTTCATTAAACAGGAATTGTTTCTTATTCAAACACTCAAGTTCTCCTTCCACCTTTCTCCTTTATCCAAACTACTTTGTATTTCAGGCATTTTAAGGAATTTGAGTCACCATTTAGAGAGCAAAATTATAGAAAACAACTTTCATACAGAATATACTGCATAACTTTTAAATCAACCTATATAATATTTCTTTCCCTGCAGGTATGATACTCTTTTACAAGTTAGTATTTTAAGATTTAGTTATTTTAGAAATAAAATACTTTTTAAAGATTCTAAAGTTCTTAGGACTTCTTAAAGGTCCTAAGATTATTCTTAAATAACAATTTAAAAAAGAAGACATTTTATAACATAGACTTTCTCCAATTTCTACCATGAAACATATTGTTAATAAGGAACTTAATATTAAGATGTGACTATAGCAAGAATGATCAGAGCAGAGGATTCAACAGGTTCAGTCCAAAAATACACAGTGGGCAATTTCCTGTAACAAATCTAATACCTAGAGCAGTTGGAATGTGGGAAGAAACTTAAAAATTTTTTTCAGATGTTTATTTATTTTTGAGGAGAGAGAGACAGAGTATGAGTGAGAGAAGGGGCAGAGAGAGAGGGAGACACAGAATCTGAAGCAAGAAGCTCCAGGCTCCAAGCTCTCAGCACCAAGCCCCATGTGGCGCTCAAACTCATGAACTGTAAGATCAAAACCTGAGTCGAAATCAGATGTTTAACTGACTAAACTACCCAGGTGCCCCAAGAAACTTTTAGAATATCTCTATTTTTATCTAAATTAAGAAATCAGACTTTACTAATATTTAACATGTAATTGACAATAGTGCATATATTTTGTAATCAATGTACGAGACCAAAAATGTTTAGAGACCACTCACTTCTCTACAGTACCATCATGCAGGCATCTGATTTCACTACATGTTTTGACTCTGTAATATATTAAATACAATAATTTGCATATATACAACATTTAAGCATAGTAATCATGAAATGTAAATAACATTTAAAATTTGTTATACTATGCAGTAAGTTAATGTTTATTCTTTAATCACTTTTAGCATGAGATATTTATTTAACAAATCTTGGTAATTTTGTATTATCATAGAGCTGAGAGATTAAATATAAATCTTCATTTTATAGATGCCCATATTATGAAGTAAATTATCTCAAGCCTTTGGATTCCTAGTTTCATTGCTTTTTCCAATCCATCATCCCACTCATAGGATTAATAGCAGGATCTCATTATCCATCAGACAAATGAAACAACAGTGCCATTGCACAAGATGGAAAGGTACAGATTTTCTCATAAAACTTTAGATGGAAGAAATTCTTTTTAGCTTCTTACTTTAAAATAATTATAGATTCACATCAAATTATAAAAATAGTACAGAGATACCCCCATACACCTGCCCTCACTTTCCCCCCACTATGTTTAAGATAATAATGTATTGCAAACACTGAAAGCAAAAGACTTGAGTTGTATCAGCTGACCAAATTCTGAGAAAACTAACTGCCCGGAAGCTGAAGTTTGAAAAGGGCTAGTTTGTGGCAAGGAGTCTGAATGAGGGTGTTGTGTGGGAGAGAGTAAGTGCCCAGGCCACTCTGATGTGGAAGGCACAAAGACAGCACTGCTCAGCTGTCTGTATTTTAGAGAGATGTCAGTTACACCGTGCCTTTACAGACACTTCCTCTTAACTATGGAATGTGACATGGTATATCCCACCACGGCACTAGAATACAAAGCAACAAAGACGATACCTCACACCTACATGTTACTGTGGCAGCAGTGAGAGAACAACAAACTACCAGGAGGAGGTCAATTAAGGCTTCCAAAAAGAAAAAAAAACTTTTGGCATTAAGTTTTAAGGATGTTTACAAGTGAGCTGAGAGACCAAATGTTAGAGATGGAGATATTAGGGAACGGAAACACTCTTAAGGTAGAATAAGAGAGTATGATGTATTTGAGAATTGTAAGCTGCTCAGCAAAGCTGTAATAAAGGCAATGTGGAGGGGATAGAGTAATGGGAGAAGATTAAAGTAGCCACAACTTCCTGAGTGCTTTCTTGGGCTGTGCTCTTTATAGTATATTATATTAATCTTTACAATAAACTGCAACTTAATTTTGGCCTTGTTTTACAGATGAAACAGTGGAGACTTAACACACTTGTGTAGTAAGAAGTGGGATTAGCACACAAATCCATCTCTGATTCCAATCTGGAGCTCTTACCATTTGACCATGGGGCTCTTTTCAAATGAACTGGAAAAATAAATGGGCCAAATAATAAAAGCCCTTGGCAAAGAAGCATCGAGTCATATCACAGGATCCAACAGAAAATTTTAAGCAAAAGGATGACATATCGCCCTTTGTGTTGAGGAAGCCCCCTATTTTGTTGTGGGGAGGATTGTGAGCCTGGACCCAGGGGACCATGTTAAGACTATGCAATAGGTCCAGGCAGGACATCAAGAGTCCTTGAACTCATGTAACAGTAGAGTAGGCTTAAGAGGAAAAGAAAGGAGAAGATGAAACTGAGAAAAAAAATTCTAACTTTATTTCTTTTGGGAGAGAAGAGGGGAGAAAGAGAGAGGGGGAGAGAGCACAATCAGGGAAAGGACAGAGAGAGAGCGAAAGAAAGAATCCCAAGCCAAATGTGGGGCTCCATGTTAATGCAAGATCACAACCTGAGCCGATATCAAGAGTTGGTCGCTTAACTGACTGAGACACTCAGGTGCTCTGTATCTGAGACATTTTTGATTTATGTTTGGGGAAATATTAATAATATAATTCTCCATAATAATAGGTCAAAGAAATAGGAACCTTTTAATTGCTGCCGAGAGCATGTCCAATAGTCAATAATCAGTTTTGATAAAAGAAATTGTATCAAATGGCTATATACACATACTTCAAGCTAGTTTCATGTTTAATCGTGGAATTCTAATAGCATATCCATGAAATATGGGAATAAATATATGCTTCATGCTCAAATGCTATTCTGGAAGTACTAGCTAATGCACTTCTATAAGAAAGTAAAGAATATACGACTGGAAAGGATGCAGAAAATATTTATAAACTATGCAATTAGATTTGGTGGCGAAGGGATGCATACAACTCCTATTGCCTACCCTCTTGCTCCATGCCAGTTTTGGATTGATCAAGTTCAAAGGCATTTCATGGATGCCCTCCTGAGAGAATGGAGTTGTTACTGTGTTCTGATAGTACACTGTCCAATGAACCCACTGGGAATGGCTCTTGTGACTCTTTTTATAAGTCTC